GCTCCTGCCCCACTCTTGTCCTCTCTCTCTCTCTCTCCCTCTCTCTCTCAAAAATAAATATTAAAAAAGAGTATGTCTTTCATAGAGATTCTGTGTTGATGAGCCTTTGAAGAATTTTAAATGAAGAAAACTACATAATCAAGTTTGGATGTCAGAAATATTTTTGGAGATACATAGAAAGAATTGAGGGGGTGTTGACTTTAGCAGCAGATGGAATATTTGACAGAAGTGATTTAGACATCTAGAATTGTAGGACTGAAGATAAAAGGTGAAGATTTTTACAAAATATGAGAGGTTGTTTGAATGACACCAGCTCATTGAGAATTTCATTGATCATCTTTAGACAGAAGGGATCTCTGTCTTGAATCTTTGCATCTTGTTTATGTAGCTTAAAACACATTGCTAGGGATGATCCCTATTTGTGTACATTTTGCATCAATGATATCTTTCAGACAGACGTGTGCATACACACACACATGCACACACACACGTGTGTGTCTCTGGGCTTGTGCACAAACACACTTGTATGTGTTAGTTTGTAATTACTTTGGGGCTGTAAGATCAGACTTATCTAGAAATTGTGTTCTATCAAGATGTTGCTCAACTACTACTTAGTGAATACTTGAATTAACTAAACCTACATGATTATAAGGGTAGCTATTAAAAGAAAACCTTGATTGAAGATAGGTCTATGTAATAAGCTAGAATTCAGCTTCAGGGTTTTGGCTGAGTCACTATTCTTTTTTAACCATTTTACCCTTTTTTCCCCAAGTGTAAAATGGGAATAATAATGGTTACCTGCCTCAAAGGGGTGTTGTGAGGACTAGCTAGTTGACAGTTTTAAACTATTTTCAAGATGGAATGTACTATAAATGCTCCAAGGAAAGTTTTTAAAAGCACAATGGAATAAAACCCTTGAACCATAGCATTAGGAAAGTTAGTATGTCTTTTAGGCTGGCAATCTTCAACCGATAAAGAATTCTATGGGAAATTAACTCCACAACATTCTTTATTTTCTTGCCTCTTTTCTACTTTCTTTTGTAGCTAATATCTGGCTAGTGACTCAATTCAATAGGAAAGTTCCAGTTATGCCATATTTTGAAATAGATGTTACTCATAAAGAAAGAAATGCAATGAAGATTATAAAATGGTCATTAATCACAGTGGAAAATGTAGTCTTTTCAATATAGCTCTGTATTCAGAATTCACCAGAACTATTTTAAAATTCACTTTATCATCAGGCATTCAAGGGTATTTTGAAGTTGCCTAGAAGCAAATGTTCATTTTTGTGTGGAAATATACTTTAATAATTTTCCTAAAATATAAATATCAGAACTAGGTCAGAACTTCATTTTTCAAAACAATTGCTTGTTTTCTTCCAAATGCCAAGCAACATATTCAAAACTCTGGAAAAGAAGTTATTTCCTCTACTCGTTCTTATTAAGAATATTTACACATTTACACACCCTAGTTAAAGACAAAAATCCACATACATACAGGCTAGAGCAGGAGACCTGCACACTGGGCAATTTTTGTGATGAAGAAATGTTTATAAAGGAAACAGAATAAGCAAGTTCAAGTGTGCTTTAACAAAACCGAGATGCATCCCCACCATTCTGAAAACAAGCAAGCAAAAACTCTAAGATTAACAACACACACACACACACACACACACACACGCACGCACACACAAAACCAGACCTTCCTATGAGATATCGTTCAGCCATGAGAAAGGAAGACATCCTGCTGTTTGCAACAACATGGACCCACCACAAGAGCATTAAGCTAAGTGAAATAAGCCAGACATAGAAAGACAAATACCACATCATATCACTTATATGTGGAATCTAAAAAAAAAAACAAAGCCACAGATACAGAGAGGAGAAAAGTGGTTGCCAGGGACTGGGTGGGGCATGGTGGGGGAAAATAGGTAAAGGTTGGCTAAAGGGTACACTTTCAGCTATAAGGTAAAGTAGAACTTAAGTGTTTTCTCACACAAACAAACATAAATATGTGAGGTGATGGAGGCATAATTAACTTGATGGAGAGATTCCTTTCACAATGTATACATATGTTAAATAATCATGCTAGTACATATTAAATATCTTACAATTTTGTCAAGTACACCTTGTAGGGGCAAAGGGCCAAAATGTACTGCCCCGAGTATGCCCCAATACGTGCCACCTTGGCATATTGATTATTTTAAATAAAAGTTATTTAAGAGACAGCCTGTACAAGGACACTCAGACACCCATCGATCCCACTGAAAGCAGGAAATAAACTCCATTTTTTAAGGTATTTCTCCTGTACCATTGGTACAGAGACATCTTTATCACCACAGATAGGAAATTCAGGGCCAGAAAGCTTTACAAACAACACTTTACTTTTTACTAATTTTCTACCCCAGCCCAAATTCTGTTTAGAATTCCTTGCTTTGGGGCACCTGGGTGGCTCAGCTGGTTGAGCATCGATCGATTCATGGTTTCAGTTCAACTCATGATCTCATGGTTCCTGAGTTTGAGCCCTGTGTCTGGCTCTACTGCTGGTGTGGAGCCTGCTTGGGATCCTCTCTTCTTCTCTCTCTCTCTCTCTCTAAATAAATAAACTTAAAAAAAAAAAAAAGAATTCCTTGCTAATTTAACAAAGTTGAGTTTTCTTTGCCCTGTCAGTTCCTCACAGATCTATTGTATCTTTGTCTAAAACCTATAAAAACGTCCTGACTTGGTAATTTCTTTAGTTCTCCATTTCATCATTGGGTCTCTGTGCTCATGTAATAAATATTTATTTTCTTTCCTCATGTTAATGTGTCTCATGTAAATTTAATTATTAGTCCAGCTGGAAGATTTTGAAGGGTCAGAGAAGAATTTTTCCTTTTCTTCAACTTCACTAAAGCTAAAAAAGAAAAAAAAAAGTAAGTTGAAAGTCAAAGAATGGATAAAACCTACATTTTGTAAGTGGAGAGCAGTGAGGATATACAAAGATAGGTGGGATAACTATAATAGACTTGAGTTAGGTAAACTAAGTATAGAATATAGAGAATTAGATAAATAGAATGCAAGGCCGTTGAGCATGTCTGTGTTATTCACCACTGTATTTCCAGTCCCTCGAATGGTTTCACCCTATAGTAGGAACTCAATAAATATTTGTTGACTCAATAAATAAATGAAGTATGAGTTTGTAACTTGAAGTGGTAAGCAGTATGAATCAATTATAACTCTTTAAGCAGCAGAGTGGCAGGATAAAATGTGTTTAGAGAGGTTATTTTGGCAGTGGTTATGTGAGGTGACACTAGAGGAATAATCACATGGCGCATTGACAGAACCATTTCTACAGGAGTTTGCTTGACTCAGCCATGTTTTGAACATCTCATCATCTCTGCTTTCAAATGCAAGAAAATCCAACATTACAGATACTATCAATTGAATCAATCTGACATTTATGCTTTACGATATCTTGCTGAGCTATCACAAGATTTGCATTATACATAAGCAGTGAACCAAGAAGGAAAGGCTTTGTATCCACTACATTTGGCGGCAGAGTTATATAAAACAAAGCTGCTCTACATTTGTATTAAAGTTGACATCGGTCTGCCTGTGCCTGCAGAAAGTGGAAGACCAAAAAAGAAAAGGTGTTTATTCTTGAATTTTATTTTATTTATTTATTTTCATTGTTTCTAGGTTTTTTTAAATGTTTTATTTATTTCTGAGAGACAGAGAGATAGCATGAGCAGGGGAGGGTCAGAGAAAGAGGGAGATACAGAATCGGAAGCAGGCTCCAGGCTCTGAGCTAGCTGTCAGCACAGAGCCCGAAGCGGGGCTGAAACCCACGAACTGTGAGATCATGACCGGAGTTGAAGTTGGACACTTAATCAACTGAGCCACCTAAGCGTCCCCTAGTTTTTTTTTAATGATGGATACAGAAAGACAAGAGAGGACCTTTTTCCAGAGTTCACAACCTAAATAAGAAAACAAGAGATACCACATAACAGAGGCAAATTATTCCAGGAGGTAAATGTCCATGAATGTGTTTTTCAAAATACAACTTATTATACAAATGTAGAACTAAATGCTGACTTTGTGATGTTTCCATTATATCTGAAAGGGCTTTGAGAAATACGAAATCTTGTAACTGGGTAAAACCAGTGGTCCAGCTAGCCAAAGGTCCTTTCCAGTGGTACCAATTCATCTGGAGGGAGAGCAGAGAATTTATCCAAAGTTTGAAAATACCATGGGAAACTTTAAGGATCCCAGCAATCAGTGAATGGGTCATCCATATACCCAGTAGACTTACAGGTGCTACACACCGCCACTCAGAATGCTCCTCACGGTGGCAGCACGTGACAAGTCAGCGATCTCCTGGCCTCTGGTTTCCTCTCTTTGCCCTGCCCTCTTGTGTCTTCAATCACCAGTGTCAAAGGACACATATAAGTAGTTGGGAAGCACTAAACTCTGAGAGTAAAGCAAAAATCAGAGGTAAAGGGAAATGTTCAACCAGTCATATTCAAACACAAGTTAGTGACTGAAATATTTTAGGTTCAAAGCGCCAAATATTCTTCCTTCCTGAGAAACCTCCATCAGTTTCTCATTCTGGTGAGAATTTTCACATTGCAGGTTGCTGCCACAAACTTAATGAGTGTATATTTTTGAGTGTGGATTTATCACTTAAGGGTTTGAATTAGGAGACTGAAAGAAAATATTTTGTATTCATGTATTTTTAAAATATCCATCCGTGGGGGCGCCTGGGTGGCTCAGTCAGTTGAACGTCCAATTTGGGCTCATGGTTTGTGAGTTAGAGCCAAGCCTTGGGATCTCTGCTGACAGCTGAGAGCCTGAAGCCTGCTTCAGGTTCGGTGTCTCCCCCTTTCTCTGCCCCTCCCCTGCTCGTGCACTTACTCTCTCTCTCTCTCTCCTCTCTCTCTCTCACTCTCTCTGAAAAATAAATAAACATTAAAAAATAAAATAAAATATCTATCCATGACAAAGGAGCCAGGGGTTAGTTTCTTATGGCAGTGGCGGTGGGAGCGTCGGGGGTAGAATGTTCTCATGGAGATACTATAAAGTTATGTCAGTTCACTTCATTTCTTTTTCTTTAACAGATTCTGAGGTGCAGCTGTTGTCTTGTTCAGGTTCAGGAAGCTCATTCAGAGGTATTGCAACATCCTCATGTGGCAGCTTGTCCCTTTCCCAAGCATCATCAATCAAATCCAAGATCCCTCCATCTCTCTGTACCTCACTGTCCATTCTCCTGCAGCTTTGATCTTGTCAAATTGGTGCCAGATCCAGTGTTGCACCTTGTTCTTGAATTTTAATCTTAAAACAAAATGAACATAAATAAAACCAAAACAAATGACAAAAATAATAAAACATAAATATTCTTCACTTTCATTGTAAACATCTTGCTTCTTGAAAACATCAAGAAGCAAGACGCTTAACTTTCAAATATTTGTTTTGGTGATTAAGAAAAAGTCAGTATGGGAGGGCCTGGGTGCTCAGCCGGTTAAGTGTCTGACTTTGGGTCAGGTCATGGCCTTGAGGTTCATGAGTCTGAGCCCTTCACTGGGTTCCCTGCTGTTGCTGTGGAGCCTGCTTCAGATCCTCTGTCTCCCTCTCTCTCTGCTCTTCCCCTGCTGATGCACGTGTTCTCTCTCTCTCTATCTCAAAATTAAATACATATTAAAATAAAAAAAGGAAAGAATTACTTTCTACTCATTCTAGTTTCATCTCATTTTCCTTTTGTTAATTAGGTTCAGAGTTGTGATAATCTAGATGTCCTGAACTTATCATTATTATTATGAGTTATATTACTGTGAATACTATGATTAGTAATAATTTATTTTTCTTACTCTAACAATGTAAAAAATATAATTAATAACATGTATAATAATAATGCATTTTATTAATATTTGTATTGGGCTTTATTTACACATATAATATTCCAACTAGCTACCATAAGCAAAGTGCTTGGGTGGTGCACATTTTATTATCTTTCTTTTATATTGGGGAATCTGCTAATCAGAAATACTAGATGAAGGTCACCTGGGTGGCTCAGTCGGTTGAGCGTCCGACCTCCACGCAGGTCATGATCTCACGGTTTGTGGGTTCGAGCCCCATGATGGGCTCTGTGCTGACAGCTAGCTCAGAGCCTGGAGCCTCTTCAGATTCTGTGTCTCTCCCTCTCTCTCTGACCCTCCCCTGCTTATGCTCTCTCTCTCTCTCTTTCTCTCTCTCTCTCAGAAATAAATAAAAACATTTTAAAAAATTAAAAAAACAGAAATTAAAAAAAGGAAATACTGGATGACTCCAGGTCACCCAGTAATTATAGAACTAGAGTCGTTCTTGTCATATTTATTTTCCTCCACCACACTGCTATGCTCCTAACTGCTTTGCTTTCACTAGGAACATCTTTCTTTAGTCTCTGGCCAAAATTAAAATTTGTCACTGAAATACAGAAAGTATCCAAATTCATTATTGACCTTATGGAGAATAACACATTTTGTCTAAGCTTACGGGATGAAATTCTACTTTATTTTCAGGTTGGTTACAGAAGAACTATATCTGATAATTAACTATTATCTTGCATAAATATACATATATATACATATATATATAGCATATATATATTATAATGCAGCCGGATCATTTTTCTCACTTTTGCATAAAAAGAGATTTGGAAACCAGAAGGATCAACTGCATAATTTTTAAGAATTTTTCTGGAAGCCATGTTTTTAATCTGCATATCTCTCTAAGACTTTGCATAGATAGTTCTGTGTTTTCCGAACTGATAACAAATTCAGATAATTAATGTTCAATAAATAACATGCTATTCCATGGAGAAGCTCTTTCCCTCACTTTTTAATCTGAGTAATTAATATTGTTACCCAATATTAGCTCCTAACACAAGATTTCAAAAGGTATTGCCTGCTGTACAATAGAATTGTCACTCTCAAGTATTGGAGTTTAATCACTATACAGTGGTAAAAAAAATGACAAAAATTAGCTTCTACCTAAGTAATAAGCTTCCTTTCCCTGAAATAACAGAAATAACATAAAAATATTGAGCTAAATTATTAAATTATCATAGGGTCTTGTTAGAGAGAGGAGAAAATCATTTTAAAAGCATGAAAGTACTCTAGCAAGAATTGGCTAAAACCTCATTAAAGTGATTAACATAATTAAGAAAAAGTGTATTTCTTTAATGAGGACTCTGCTTGAATCTGGAAACATCAGGAAGGCATACTTTGCACATTTTTATTTAAGCACCAAGGTACTTGTTGTCTGGTCTTAATAAGCAGAAAAATCCATATTTTGGATATGAATGAACCAGGTTGTCTTAGTAGAATGATGCTTTTACCCATTCAGATCACAGTGACTTTCCTTTTTTCTGATTCTGTGCTTACCAAACACATTTCTGATTGTAATTTGACTTTTAGACTAGCACATGTACAGATAGCATCTTAGTCATATTTGGGCATTTAGTGTAGCTTGCTGAAGGAGAGAAAATGTGCTGATCTACCTTTGAGTTCGGGCATGAAACATCTGTCTCTGGGGGCTTGGTTAATATGAGCCAGCTCTCATGAGACAAATCTATTCTTAGTGTGTTGATACAGCCAGTCCTTCTGCTCGCCAGGGCTAAGGGACTGACTAGCGGCAGCTGCAGCGAACACTCAGAAATGATGAGGACAGATGAAGCAAACTGGAGAGAGCCAACGCCTTTCTTGCCACTCATGTGCCCAAGGCAACTTTTATTTTAACTTCAGTATCAAGCATTTACTATGTATTCACACTCATGATATTACTCCTGAGAATTCACAGTTAGAAATCTTGAAACTTTTCCAAGGAACTTAAAACCTCATTTATGAAATAATTTTATTTTTGTTCTGATAAAGGCAATAACTGAGAATTCTAAGAACGAAGGACCACTCTGTGTTAAAATTACAATATCATCATGAGAGGAAAAGCATGCCAATTCCTTTATTTTACATCCAAATGTCAGAAGAAAGCTTTTCCCAATTTATTTCCCTACAGTGTCCAGAGTCATTACTTTAAATCATATTTGCTAAGTCCTATGTTCAGAAAAACCTTTGAAATGGCCTCTTCTATTCCACTTAGAACAAAATGCATTATCTTAGCATAGGCTTGGCCTAATTGTCTGTGCCCACACTGCTCTAACCCTTTCTAACGCATATGGTAAAAATGAACTTTTTCCTATCTTGAGTCAGGTTTCTTGGAAATAGACTCTGAGAGAGAGAGAGAGAGACCCGTGCTTAGAAGTTTTATTGGAGCTGAAAGGAAGTGAAGGAAGCAAAGGTTTAGGCAGAAGAAGTTGAACAAGGATACATTTAAAACCAAAGCCTAAGTTTGTCCCAGTGGACTCTCTAGAGCTTGAAAGGCCCTTCAGAGTGGTCCCAAACTATGGCAAGAGACACAGACCTGTGCTTCCACCATGCAAGGGAAATCTAGACAGTGCCTCACAGCAGCTAGTCTGGTTTTTCTGAACAGATGAATATTTTTCCCAACAGAGGGGTTTCTCACATGTTTTTCTGTTTCTTCTGTCCGAAATGCTCTCTTCCTCCACCACCCTACCACTGTTGTCTGGAAGTTTTGGGTTATTTTTCAGGTCATTTAAATTCCTGGGGCACTTGGCTGACTCAGTCAGGTAAGTGTCTGACTTCGGCTTAGGTCATAATTTCACGGTTTGTGGGTTCGAGTCCCACGTCAGGCTCCGGGCTGACGCCTTGGAACCTGGAGCCTGCTTAAGATTCTGTGTCTCCCCTTCTCTCTGCCCATTCCCTACTTTCACTTTATCTGTCTGTCTCTATCAAAAATAAATAAAAATTAAAATGTTTTTTAAGTTATAAATTCCTCAGAAAGATTTTCTCTGATCCCTGAGTCTAAACTACGTTTTTCTTTTAAACTCTATCATAGCAACATATACTTCTTCTATAAAATATTTTTGTATAAAATTAATAAAGTACACAATTATATTTTTCTTGTGTGGTCTTTGCATTTAGTATTATGGTTCTCCATTTGTATTACATTATTGTCTTATAGAGTACAGCTTCTGTCACATCTAAGTAGTTAGCATATAGCCCCAGTGACTAATAAATATCTTTAAACGAATGAGTAAGTCATGGTCTTCTTTTCCTTCGACCCTGGAAATTGCTGACATTTCTCACTTACTATATTGATTTAAATTTAACTCCATTAATATTTTTTGTGAAATATGTGCTGTTTGTATTAGAATTGTCTCCGATATTCTAATACAGAAGTTCCCAAACTAGAATCACCTGGAGGGTTTGTAGGAGCTCATAATGGTGACCCCACTCCCAACATTCTACTTTCGTGCATATAGTTTCCATTGATGCTGATGTTTCTGCTCCAGGAATGGCACTTTGAGAACATTGTCCTAAGGAAACTTTAAGATGAAATAGATTTGTTACAGTAATTTGGAGATATTTTTAATCTTATGAAGCCATTCTGTGGGATCGGACATCTCTACTTTGTTTGTGTTAACTCAACATTTCTTTCAAGATATTTATAAATTCCATTTCCCAAGTCCTTCCTTCTAAAGAGTTTGGAAATAGTCCTGATAGAGGAAAAAAATTTTCTTTTATATATAGAATGAAGGTTTTATGATGTGGAAAGATACTTGACGGAGAAGGATGAAATCAAGCGACTCTAGCCATAAAGGTAAAGTAAAAAGTAGGACAGTTATAAACTGACTACTTTAATAAATCATTTCAATAAGCCATTAAATTAATAAGTAAAATATATCAATGCATTAATTAAATATTAATATAATTGAATTCATAACATAATAATAGTCTATTACATTCGAGGATCAGGACAATTTCTATTTATATTCATTTTTATTTTGTTTTACTTAAAATGTCTCTATGTCAATTTTTCTATACAGATGAAATAATTGTATAATACCTTTCTTTAAAATTTTTAATGGCAGTTATTTTTGGAAGACAGGACTCTATGTTTTCAGGGTAAAATATATGTTTAGAGAGATATAACATGTTAAAAAAAAGTAATCTAACTTGCTTTTCATAGTTTGAATGTTTTTGTTTGGAACACTGATTTATAAAGTAATAAGCAGAAGTGTCTTCTTAAATACAGTGTTAACAACTGAATTTAATTTAAATTATTTAAACTTCACTAAAGGATTGCAATCATAAGGCATATATTTGATAGTAGAGCTTTACTTTAGAATCATGAAAAACTGAAAAAAAATA